TGGTGTTGGTGTTGGTGTTGCCGTTGCTGTTGCTGTTGCTGTTGCTGTTGCTGTTGCTGCTGCTGTTGCTGTTGGTGTTGGTGTTGGTGTTGGTGTTGGTGTTGTTGTTGTTGTTGTTGATGATGATGTTTTTAATGTTGATGTTGTTGTTGTTGTGGTTGTTGTTGTTGTTGCTGTTACTGTTGTTGTTGTTGTTGCTGCTGCTGCTGCTGCTGTTGTTGTTGTTGTTGTTGTTGTTGTTGTTGCTGCTGCTGTTGTTGTTGCTGCTGCTGCATGTTGTTGTTGTTGTTGTTGTTGTTGTTGTTGTTGCTGTTGGTGTTGTTGTTGGTGGTGGTGGTGGTGGTGGTGGTGGTGGTGGTGTTGGTGTTGTCGCTGCTGCAAGTTGTTGTTGCTGCAAGTTGTTGTTATTTTATAAGTCTTCATGTTACTCATAATTTCCTCGATCTGCCTCGCATCGGACCAAAGGGCTGCCATCCCAAGACTTCACATCCCACAGCACGACCAGCAAACGCATTCCAGCCCTGTCATTGTCATCATAGGAAATCTTGCAAACACATGCCTAAATCCTAGACACTGAAACCCCAAGTAGTGTTTCTAGCGGTACGCCTGACCATGTAACATGGGGGCTTTAATTGTTGGAATAGGGTGTGGGGGTCTATTCTATTCTTCTATAATTACAAAATGGAACCCCTAATAATAGTATACCCATAGGCCCCACAGTAGCTCCTTTTTGGGGTTCATAAATCCTAAAAGGTAATCCCAAAAAGGAACTACTATGGGGCCTATGGGTAGGTAAACCCTAAACCCTAAACCGTTATTTGGTCCCTTTTAGAATAGCCCTGCCTCCACCGCCGTCGGAAACTCTGCGAGGGAGGCCTGGGAGCAGCCTTACCCACTCAAAGCCTCCAAAACCCCTTAATTAAGGAATATACCTTAGATTATAGTAGGAACCCTAATAAGATTTAGGGTATATTCCTTAACTAAGGGACATTGGAGGCTCTGGGCACCCACTAGACGCTCTTGGAAAATCTACCCGTTTACCCCTAGGCGCCCTAGGGGAGTTCCTTTTTTTGGGTTCATATTTAGAAACCTATAAGGTAATCCCAAAAAAGGAACTACTCTGGGGCCTATGGGTAAGGACATACATATGCATGTAAGTTATACTGGTACATAATCATCTACAACCAGCAATGCTCAACCAGCAGCAACCACTACCACCTCTACTACTTCCGTACTACTGCTACTGATACTGCTACTTTTGCTGCTGCTGCTAGTATGGCTGCCACTGCTAGGACGATGACGACATCGACGACGACGTCGACTAGTACTATTACTTCCTGCTACCACTATTCTACTACCACAGTATCTCCTCCTCCTTCTCCTCCTGATGCCGCTACCGCTGCGGCTGCTGTTGCTGCTGATACCACTACTACCCTATACCACCGGTAGCACCTGAGAGCCCAATACCCAAAACCTCTTTTTCTTGAGGAATATACTTTACACCATAATAATGCTAAGGCCCCTAGCATTTAAGGTATATTCCTTAATTCAGGGGTATTGGGCACTCTGGGCCACCATGTACTCCTCATACTTGAGCTCACGCTCCCCGCAGCCCCGCTCTGCCATTGGGGCTATTTGTGGCGAAGCGGCCATTGTGGCGCCCGAAGGCTGGCAAACCCTATAAACCCGACCCCCAAACCACAGGCCGTAAACCCTAGACCCTAGTAGGGCCTAAAAGGCTGGCAAACCCTATAAACCCGACCCCCAAACCACAGGCCCTAAACCCTAAACCCCAAAACCCTAGTAGGGCCTGAACCCACAAAGGCAAAAGCTCACAGGCCGAACCAAATAGCTCAAGGTTGGTAAGCTTTGAGCTTGAAGACTTTGCCGTAAGGGTCCGTGTGCCCATAAGGGTTCCTTTTTAGAGGGTTCCTTGAAGGGTGCCAGAAGGGTTTAGGGTTCTTCTTGGCCCTAAAGTGCCAACAAGACTATAGGGGGCCTACTTTGAAGCCTCGAGTTATATGCTAAAAAAGTACATGGGTCCTTGGAGCTGTGTTTCTAAAGGTGTCATTTTGGGTTTACATGCTCAGGTGTTCAGAGGTTCAGGGTTTGTATAACCACTTCGCTGCCAGGTGCAGTGCTTGCTTCATGGAAGCATGCACCATAAAAGTAGAGTTTAAACCCTTAGCCTTAAACCCTAAACCCTTAACCTTAAACCCTGAACCCTTAACCTTCAGGTTTAGGGGTTCAGGGTTTAGGGTTTATTATGGGTTTAGGGAGGCTGGTGCCCAAACCAACTCTGCAGGTTTGTGCAGGGCATGGGGAATTGGGTTTCCTTCTTTTCTGGAGAGGCAGGCTGGGTTCGGGATCCAAGGAAGAAGCTGCAAGATTCGACCCTAAACCATAAACCCCTAAACCCCTAACCCCTAAACCCCTAAACCCTAAACCCCGCAGCAGCACATCACTGCTCACCACGAGGTTTCACGATAATTCCTTGCAGTGGAACTTCGCAGACTGCTGGGTAGAAACGTCAAACTCTGCAGGCTGCTGGGTAGCTGCATGCCCTCCAAGTTCTGGTTGAAATCATAGCCAAACGTCAAACTCGGCAGGCTGCTTGGTAGTTGGATACCCTCCAAGCTCCGGTTAAACCGCTTACCAAACTACCCAACAGCCCGCAGAGTTTGATAGTTGTCAAGCTCTCAGGGCTGTTGGGTAGTTGGATGCCTCCAAGCTCTGGTTAAACCGCTTACCAAAAGTCAAAGTCTGCAGGCTGCTGGGTAGTTGGATGCCCTCCCAGCTCTGGCTAAACGAACTACCGAACGTCAAGTGCTGCAGGCTGCTGGGTAGTTGGATGCCCTGCAAGCTGTGGTTAAACTCCTCGCCAAACGTCAACTCTGCAGGCTGCTGGGTAGTTGCATGCCATACAAGCTCCGGTTGAACTTCTCGCCAAACCTCAAACTCTGCAAGCTGCTGGGTAGTTGGATGCCCTCCAAGCTGTGGTTAAACTCCTCGCCAAACCTTGCAGGCTGCTGGGTAGTTTCTGGTTAAACTCCTCGCCAAACGTCAAACTCTGCAGACTGCTGGGTAGTTGCAGGCCATACAAGCTCCGGTTGAACTTCTCGCCAAACCTCAAACTCTGCAAGCTGCTGGGTAGTTGGATACCCTCCAAGCTCCGGTTCAACCGCTCACCAAACGTCACACTCTGCAGGCTGCTGGGTAGTTGATGCCCTCCGAGTTCCGATTGAACTCCTGGCCAAAGGTCAAACTACGCAGGCTGTTGAGTAGTTGGATGCCTTGGTTGAGCTGTTGGCTGGAATACCATGTGAGTGACAACGTTTCCGTCAGGGCAACTACATCAGGCAGAGGCCAACACATCGCGACACAACCCGCGCCAAGCTTCCGCACCACGTACCAGATCTCGTCGTGCTGGACTTGATGCAGCACTCTGGCTGTGATGCGTTCCGCTACTTCCCGCCCCACTTCCGCAAAGCTGACGTCCAGCTCAAGGCTGGGGCTTGCCGGGCAATGAACGCTCACGGTCCGCTTCGCCCTGTCCGGGCGGGCCTCTGCAGGCCTCTGGGCGCTCAAGATCTGCTTCATGGTGCCTTCGGGTGATTTCGGACGCATGCAATCAGCAGTGGCTTTGGCGGCACTCTAAGCGCAGTCTTTGAGCGACACATTTGCTGGGCGATTAAATATTGGAAAGCCCTTCATCCTTTGATTTGTGTTTCTGCTGCTCAGCAAGGTGCTCAGAGGGCCTCTCGCCCAAACGAAATAATCTCAGTAAGAGCCAAGCTCTTGCGGTGTGACAACAGACGGTGGCTTAGATTGTTGTTTGGGCTTTGAGGGCGTAGTGAGACTGCACAACGTCCAACAAATGCCGCTTGGTCAAACCCAAAATGAGCACTGCTAAACTCAAATAAACCCCGATAAGCCTCAACCTCACACCAGTTGGTGAGAATACACATCAATGCCGGCAGACGGTGGTTTAAGGGGATACACTGAATACGCATCAGCGAAAGATCGCACATCAGAATCAGCTAAACCCCAGGTATATAGACGACGCTGGTGTCAAGCATAGCTTGGAATAGCTTTTCGCACACTGTCTTCAGTTGCATTGGGAGGTCCCGGGTGGAGGGAGTCTCCATGCAATCTGCGAAGCCCCAAAACCTAAACGCCTCAACCCTGATCCGTAAACCCAATGATGATTTGATGAACAGATCTGAGTTTGAAGGGTGAAAATAACCTAGACCCTCTATCTACCCTCTGTTAGACCCGAAATACCCTTAATTTGGGACCATACGGTGATATAAATCCTGCATCACCCATAAGAAGGAATGTACCATAATTCCCATAGTTTAGGGTCTTTAAGGAAATGCAGGATTTACATCATCAGCACCCCTTACTTGAGGGTACTTGGAGGGTGCTGGAACTCGCTGGGTCTGATTGAAAAACCGTGCCTCAGGATTGGGATCCTGTGTCCAAGGTTAGAAGTATGAGCCTGTAATCTGGGCCCTTAGGCCTTTCTAGGGGCCCATGCAGGTACATATAGGGTATATATAGTAGGTGTATAAGGATTCGGGTTGAGGGCCCATATGAGGGGCCCATGGTTTCAAGCTTAGACTTTGTCCATGTGCGGAAGGATTCGAAGCAGGAACTGTACACCCAGCTGCTGTCTTTGCAAGGACTTCCGGAGACTGCGTGGCTCGCGCCCGATGCAGCCAATCATTTCGAGGCATTGGAGTCAGTTCGACGCAGTACTTCGGGTTTGGGGATTTGAAGCGTATAGCCTTATGGCAATTATGGCATGCAGGATTGAGGATGTAAGCTCAGGATAAGGGTTTACGGTGGGATGTAGGCTCAGGGTGTTTATGTGCCTACAGAATGGAACTGGCGAACGGAAGAACGTGGGTTTAGGGCTTTAGGATTTACAACCTTTAGGACTTTAGGACCTTCACACTCTTTACGTGCGGAGGACAGGGCACAGTCCTGTGCTGGGTATGAAACCCTAATCGTGCAAAAGGTTACACTTGACGGGAGTTGGCCACGCTTCCGGGGTGATGTGAAGGCCTCTCGGTGCGTGGTTTCTGCGAAAGCGCTGCAGCAGGCTGTCTGAAATCACCACTATAGCCCTAAACCCTAAACCCTATACCATAAAGGCTAGGTTTAGTGTCTTTCTAGGGTTGAAGATAAAGGGTTTGGGGCTATGGTTAAGCATCTAGGCATATTTATGGTGCTTTTGGGTGTAAAGCTGGGGTTCAAGCTTCATGAGAAGCAGCCCTAAACCCCAAAACGCCTGAACCTTAAGCTTGAGTTCGATACAGGGGCCTTCATGACCATAAGTGGGCTCTGGGGTACATTCTAGTACATGTCTGGAAGTATCGGAACACCCCAACAACCTGCCAATTTCAGGACTGAGAAAAGGAAATGATTAATTGTCAAACCGGAGAATGTGAGCTTTTTATCGGTAGGCGCAGTTCTGAACACGCTGGACTCTAGGGTTTAGGGCTTACAGGGCTAGCCAACAACCCCAGCTGCCCCTTATAGATATCCAAGCCCAGAGTAAATACCCACGGTTAAGGAATAACACTTAAAGCCTACACCCCAACTCCCTAAACACCCCGAGAAAATTCCCACGATCGAGGAGCATACTTCTTCTGCAAAAGGTACTTGGGGGGTGCTGGTAGGCATTAAACCCAGCGCCCTGCTGATTTGATTTAGAGTTTAGGGTTTAAGGGACTAAGTTCACAGAGGTTGAAGAACTCAAAACCCCTGAAACTAAACAGCCCAACCCATTCTTTAGCTCTCCATGGCTGAACTTTCCTGTTTTCATTCCTGATGAGTCCGGCTCCCTAAATTCTTATCAACTCCCAACAGCTCATTTGAAGAGATCATGAACACCTATACACTTCCTGTGACAGTGAAGGCGAGATACACTCTGTACCGCAATATGGGGCATCTCCGAAATCCCGAAACCTGCACGACCTGCAGCGCCGGAAAATAGTTGCTCAGGGCGGCAGATCCACGCGCATGCCGACTCCGCACTGTCCCGGCTTCTGCTATCTTAGCGGTGTTTAGGATTGAGTCTGTTGGGAAGGGTTTTTTCTGCCTGTTTCAGCTCGGGGGTGCAAGCCTGGATAGGAGCACAGATAGTTGGCAAGTAGGCTTAGCTACGCTAACTCAATTCTTGACGGTGTATGTAATTGTAACTGCGCCCATAGAGTAACCAAAGTACCAAAAAGAGGTACATGTACCTATTGTCCTAGGGGCACATCATTTACTAAAAGTACACTTTGAATTTGTTACTGTGATTCTACCTATAGGCTCATACCCTATAGTATACCCCTTTAGGTACCTAATTCTTTAGTTAGGATCGTTGTATATATTTATATACACATGTAGGTAATTACACTGAACCTCAAACCTCAAGACCGCAAACAGACGAAAGCTCTAAACCCGAAGCCATATAAGCCTAAACCCCAAACCCTAAAGCCCTAATCCCCCCCGCTTCCTGGAGCTTCGAGTTTGAGGGCATTGAAAGAGAGAGGAATGCAACCGTTTAGGGTTTTGGGTTTAGGGGTGCCAGGCTTGCATGTGCGCAAAGGGGCCTTGAAAATAGAATAGGGTTTGGGGGCGGCACCTAAACCCTAAACCCTAAACCCAAAACCCAAAACCCTAAACCCTAACCTAAGCCCTAAACCCTAAACCCTAACCTAAGCCAGCCTAGGGTTCGAAGCTGCGTCTGGCAAGGTGTGTGCGGAGCCATCAGCTGGTTCTCACATATGGGGGTTTCCGAACATAGGGGACCCTAATATAGTACCCTAAATAGTAGGATCCTTATTATAAGGACCCCAAAATAAGGTACCCCCAATGGAAACTCCCGTATTTCGCATCTCGTCTCCCGATGCAAGCGCAGAAGTTTCGTCGTCTCGTTAGGTGTGACAAGTGGTCAGCGAAAGCTTTGGTTTGAGGGTTTAGGGTTTAGGGTTTAGGGTTTAGGGTTAACAGGGTTTTGCCTACCGTAGAGCTAGGCCAGACTCATCACACTCATGGTCATAGCAATTTGAATGAGTTTCATTGTGCTGAACAAAAAGTACAGCAAGAGAGATTGATGCAAAGCAGTATGGAGAGTTCTTGGCCCGACACAGTAAACAGTGGTAAGCGCATTAATGTTGATGCGGCGCTCTCATCAATGGGAGCTTTAAACCCGCGGTGAGCGCGGAAGCTCGCAATTCGGGCCCAGTTTGAACCGGGCACGTATTGAAGGATATTCCCCTGAACCCGAGGATAAGATCAAAGACATTTTCAGGCTGCAAGACGCGACACAGTTCGGGGTTTAGGCTTCAAGGTACCCTCTCGAACATGTCTCCACCATGACAGAACATGCGCTCACAGTATCGTCGTGGGTAGCACTCACTCTAGGCCGTCTTCGACAGCTCCAGCAAGCACCGGGCTTAATCATCCTGTCCACGATCGGCTGTTAGGGGCTACAAGTTGTGCTAGGTCCTGCTAGCTGCTAGGATCTGCTAGGTATCCCTACAGTAGTCTTCTGAAACACGTGCCCTTGCAGCTGCCTCCATGACAGGGAACGGAACTATTTATTGCGATTCAGCATGAAGAGATGCTTTGCCCACCAATACCACCTCCGCCACCACGCTACTACCCAGGACCAGCAGCAGCAGCAGTAGCAGCAGCAGCAGCGGCAGCAGTAGCACCACCACCACCAACAACAACGCCAATGATCCACGTCGACACGACCTTGCCGCGACCAGGAGGACGAGGATGACCAGGACGACAAAGATGTGAACGACAGCAGCAAGCAAAAACATAGCAAGTACTACATAGGTAGCGGTAGCAAAAGTGCTTCAGGATAGGAAACCGGTAATGCTACTCAAATGTCGCTTCCGACACACCTTATCCCACAAAACCCTAAACCCCTGCCTCAATGGCGGCCATCATAATGTTGGTTCCGGCCAGCTGCAAATCGGACACACTGCCTGGGATTTGACAGTTTGACGCTGAAAGGGATAGGGATGTCGAAAATTCAAAAGCAATGCCCGAGCCAGTGGGCTGTTTGTATTTGGACTGCAGATGGTTTAGGGTTGAGGGTTGAGGGTTTAGGGTTTAGGGTTGAGGGTTTAGGGTTTAGGGTTTAGGGTTTAGGGTTGCAGGTTTAGGGTTTAGGGGTAGGTTTACCTAGAGGCTCATACCCTACCCCTTTCTGACGGTACCTTCTTGTCTATGTAACAGGTCCTAGCTAAAGAACTAACCCTAAACGCTAAACCCTAAACCCTCTAGTGCTCTAAAAAAGAGGTACTTAAAGGATCATGGGACTTAGTGAGTAGGGTTATAACTAAGGTAACTATACATATAAGCCCAATTAAAGGACTTATAACCTGACTTACCAAGTCCCATGATCCTCCAAGCAGGGTTTGAGCCTCAAGGTCCAAGTAGGGTTTTGGATTTCGACAACTACTCTGCCGCTTGCCTATTTCCTTGTCTCTTTCATCACCTAAACCTGAACCACCCAAATAACCTACCCTTTTTTTTGGACTTATATAAAATCATAAGAAGGAACCCGAAGAAGGCAGGTTCTTTGGGGTCCAGCTAGCCACGAAGCTTCTGGA